TCCAAAACTAATTTCTTCCATCCATACTTTCTTCTTATCTTTGACAAAAATGTGTTGTCTCTTGTCAAGTCAAGTGGCACGTGTGGGGGGACGGTGGACCACTAATGGAATTTTACACAGTGGAAAATATAGAAAACCATGTGCTGTCAATGTTCCTCTACTCAAAAGCAGGGAAAGTTCATAGAGAGAAAAAAAAAAAGACAATTAATGGAAGATATTTGTCATAACAAGTACCACTCATTGAAAATGCTACAAAATAAGTATTTAATTTCAAATATTTACCGAAAATCATTCAAATATATGGTTTTTTTTTTTTTTGGAGAAGTTCATAGCTTTCAGATAAAATACTTTTAGAAAATTATTCAAATATATTCAAAAGCAGTCATTTAGTTGCAGAAGCATATTTTAATTTTTCTCGAGTCTTGCCACGCAGATCCTAATTGGAGGAACATAAAGGTGCAGTCCAATTTTACAGCGGCCCATGCAAATTCAATCAAATGAGAACATATATTCTAGTGTTGTGAAGCAAAATGCACTTTGATTATTTAGGAACTGACGATTGATTGAGGATAAGTTGGAATTTTCTTAGTAGAGAAGAATTATTTACAATTTGATCAAGTTGTGCATAATGGTAATAGAGATTCTAATTTGTTTTTAGTGTAATTAAGTCGATATAGATAGATTTGACATGTTAGTAAAAGAGATCGCATGGCAACGATAAAATAATAAGGGCTTTATAAGATGTAACATAATCTCGAGAAAAAATTGCAAAGTCAATTTCGTTGCAGTCGTTTTGGGTGCTAGAGACAACTAATCAAGTATTGTTCTCGTAGAATGCAAATAATGCAACACATTGACTCGTTTAATGCAATCAAGGACACTAAAGTTTATGGGCAATTCCATTTGTACGTAAATGGATGACAACGGAGGTTGACAACCTCTCACATGCATGCGGGTCCCATGTGATTAAAAAATTCAGGAAAAAAAAAGTGGGTCTCCTCTATTGTGAGTGTTCGGTCATCCACATTGTCATCCATTTCGGTACATGTAGCATGATTGAAAGTTCATAGTCCTATTATTTGCATACATATATACCACGAATAACAAAGAAAATGGCATGTTGAGACTTCCGTAACCAACAATTGTTAATATTTAACACCTTATCAATTTCAAGTAAAACGAATTTCCTACGTGAGCTCGAAATTTGTACTTGATTTTCAGTTGTTATTATCATTTGAGTATGGTGGATCATCCACTCTCATTTCTTATAAGGCGCTCATAACACTAGAAAGTGCAAATTTTTTAACCATTAAGGTTACAATTAAGCCTCCATTTTAAACTATTTAATTTATGATAAATAAATAAAAGTAATGAATAATACTTATAATTAATAAAAATTGATATTTATAAATTAATTTACGAGTGTAGCTTCAAAAGAAAAAATATTTATCCGGGACACCGCGCGCCGGTCCTTTTTAACGTGCTCTGCTTTGTCAGTATCCGTTAATTTCCCTTTTATCGCATTCGTATCTGTATATATACACCTGAAAATCGCACACGGCACATCTTTGCCTCTATTGTGCTTTGCCGGAGCTCACGAAGCCCTAGCTTTCTCTCTCTATCTTTTTCTCTTCCTACTTCTGCATATATACATATACATATAATATCTATATATATTCTCAAATATCTCTGCCGCCTGCCTGGCTGGTGTCATAAGTTACGGAATCTAACAGGTGGATTTCTTCCGATTTTATGTTATCATTGATTCATTTCCCGCTTAATGTTTCTTTACTTGTTATTTTGCAGTTTAATTTAATTCATGCATAACTTAATGTCTTAGCCGGAATCTTGCCTGTTTCTTGCATACCATTAGTAAAAAATTGGGTCTGTTTTGTTGATTGAGCTGTGAATTTTACATTTTAATAGTTCTACTCAGATGCTACTGCTGTTTTCAATTGAATTTCCAATTCTAGTTATTTATTTTTTGTATCTGGGTCAATTTTAGTTCCAAAACTCTTATCTGTTAAATATGAAGTTTTTGTTGTAGTTATGTATGCGGACATCATATATCTTGTTTAGTTTATAGCGAGCGTACTTATTCATTATCTCTGTCATGCCAGATGTTCTATGGATACAAGATATTTAATAGAGGGTTTTAGGATAGGAATAGACATAATTCATTTCAAATCCAGTACAAATCTAATCTAATCTGATTCCTTTGATCCAATCGTAGATGTTATGCCAGTCATACCAGTGTCTGTGTCTGTTTTTTGGTAGATATGTGAATTGACTGTTATTTTTTTTTCCCTTTTCTTTATTCTCTCCAAGTATTTTTTGTTTCTCGGAGGAAGTTTGAAGCCTGTTAATTCTGCTAGAATTTCCTGGAAAACCAGCTCAACTTATTACTATAAGGTAAGTTTTAGAAATTATTGTCTTTTCATTGACATAAAAATTAAAATCCAAATCTACAGTCTCAAAAGTTGTGCCAAATTTGGTTTCTAGTAGATATAGATTTTTTTCCTCCCCCGAAAGAAGGATAAAGGCTCTCCTCCTACTTTTATGCGGCTTTGATATTTCATTGAAATCGTGTGACCATTTTTTTCCAGTCCTGTTTACCAGTATCCATTCTATTCATTGTTCTGAATATTAAGAACTTGGATAATTGCTTTTGTTGGTTGTTTCTGAATGGTCTTTGTATTACAGTGAACTCCTACTATTACTAACCACTTTGCAGTTAAGCAACTTTAGATGCATTCTCATGCATTTTTTACTCATTCCACGTGTTTGTGCTGGATTGCATGTATCTGTATTTGCCGATGATAACTTTTTAATGACTGGACTAGGCCACATTAGAAATCTTTGTTAAGCATGAGATTTTGTCCAATCATATGCAATGGCTAATTATCCTTTTCAAGCATGAAAGCTTTTGTTATTTTTTGTTTGTCTGCCATCAGTTACTCTTCCTGTTAATTATAGGTCCTTCACTGACTATTTAGATCTCATCAGAAGCTTTAGTCTTGATCACAAAAAAAAAAAACTGTATCCGCATTGTATTTTTTCCCTTCTGGGAATCCATGTATAAACTCTTTGTGGCATCTAAAACTCAATACTGATTGTTATGTACTGCGCGTCCCTAATCACAGTAGTAAATTCTCATACACCTCAAAACTTGTACAAAGAAGTGTGATTCATGTGGATTTTACGACGGTGTTGACCATAGTGATAATATATCGGAAAGAACAATGATGTCCCTGTTACGAACAATATTTTGGATGCTTACTAATGTGTTTCCATAGCTGCTGCTGGATAAAGCATTCGCCATTTTATACTTATAAAACAAGACAGTTGTACTTATAAAACAAGACAGTTGTATAATGAATGTTTGATATGGAAAACTGTTCACTGATCAACATATTTTTTTAAAGGTCTACCAGCTAACTTGGTTTCTGTAGTTTGCTTTCACTGCTGTTATGTTTGGCTTACAAAATTTAAAACAGTAGTAACCTTCCATGTTAGAGCTGTAGATGCATTTAATACACTCTTTGGCATGTATATCATTATTCCTTTTCTAACTTAGCGATTTAATGTTCTTTACTCAATGTTATCTGTACATTGGAGTTCCAATAATTAATATTAATAAGAAGCACCATATTCTGTCAAGTATTTTGGTTTCATAAAGAATAATTTCATTTCCTTGTTAAGAAATGTTGCAATATTATGTTATTTACATTTTTTTAACTTTTGGTCAGCAATCATATGTCTTACCAATAATGTATTTCCTTGTGGAACAGGATGACCAACTGCAATTATACACTGAAGGAATGTGAATTTGTGTAAATTTATCTATCATTACTGCTGCTAATTAGCGGAACTTCAGATCACTTTTTATAGTAAATGGATCGCTGTGATACTTCAGGATTCGTGAGTGGGGGTTGGGAGTACTTTTTTAGAGACATCTAACCGTAGTTTTGTCACTAATTTCTGTAAGCCCGGAAGTCAGGCAGACTGTTCTTGGCAACTGAGTCTTGGTTTAAATAAGTGTTGTGTCTTTAAACTATTTGGTCATGGATGCTAGATCCCACAATCTGGGTTTTGCTTCTAACCCTGTATCTAATGCATTCAAGAATCCGAGCAATTTCATCCAAAATGGAGGATCAGGAACTGGAGGTGTTTGCTATGCTGATAGAACCTTACGACTTGATTCGCCTGCTTTTCCGCTCCCTTTGACATCTGCTCCTAAGGGAATGAAACGGAAATGGAGCCTGATAAAGGGATCTGTGGACCAGGATATGGGATCTTCATTATGTCTCCTCCTGGGCCATTCATCCAGTTCTTCGGACAGTAAAGGCAGCACAGTGACTGCATGCACTTCATTATCTTCAGCTAAAGAAACTGAAGGAGAGTCCACAACGGATGTAGAACTGGATTTCACTCTCCATCTTGGCTGTGAGAAGTCACAAAACCCAAAACTGTCAGCCGGCCCCTCTTTGAAATCGCTTGATGCATGCCCTAAGGTTGATTTGGAGCTCAGCCTTTCCAGTGGACCTGCTGAATCTGATATCACAAATATTCCTCAAAGCTCCACTGCATCAAAAAATATTCTCAAGGTTCCAATTAGCGATGGAGCTTTAAACATACATAAAGGATCAACAGGAAGTCCTTTTTGTCCATTGCAGACTACACTGGACATGGAAACCAACTATCTTCTCACCAAGGCTCTAGGGCAAACCAAGCCAGCAAAAATCTTAAAAGATATCTCCTCAAGTGTCATAACAACACCAAAAAGCTCAGTCACCTGTTCTTCCGGGACAACACAGCAACAACAGCAGCAGCGTAGTAGTAGTTCTAAACAGTGTCAGTTTCAGGGATGTTTGAAGGGAGCAAGAGGTGCTTCTGGTCTTTGTATAGCTCATGGTGGTGGTCGAAGGTGTCAGCGCCCTGGTTGCCATAAAGGAGCTGAGGGTCGTACTGCATTCTGCAAGGCTCATGGTGGTGGTCGACGTTGCGAATTTTTAGGATGTACAAAAAGTGCAGAAGGACGTACGGACTTTTGCATAGCTCATGGTGGTGGCCGTCGCTGCAGCCATGAGGATTGTACTCGTGCAGCCAGAGGGAAATCTGGGTTATGCATTCGACATGGCGGTGGCAAGAGATGCCAGAGAGAGAACTGCACAAAGAGTGCCGAAGGCCTTTCTGGCCTTTGCATATCACATGGAGGTGGCCGCCGATGTCAGTACCCAGAATGCACTAAAGGGGCTCAGGGAAGCACAATGTTTTGCAAGGCTCATGGTGGTGGCAAACGCTGCACATATTTAGGGTGCAACAAGGGTGCAGAAGGAAGCACTCGTTTCTGCAAGGGCCACGGTGGAGGGAAGCGCTGTTCATTCCAAGGTGAGGTTTGCCCAAAGAGTGTACATGGAGGGACACTTTTCTGTGTAGCACATGGGGGCGGAAAGAGGTGTGCTGTTCCAGATTGCACAAAGAGTGCTAGGGGGCGTACCGACTTTTGTGTCCGTCATGGTGGTGGTAAGAGGTGTAAATTCGAAGGGTGTGAAAAAAGTGCTCAAGGCAGCACTGATTTCTGCAAGTCCCATGGTGGAGGGAAGAGATGCTGTTGGGGCCAGCCTGGTACTGAATTTGGAAAAAGTGACAGTCCTTGTAACTCATTTGCCAGGGGGAAGACTGGACTCTGCACATCTCATGGTGCCCTGGTTAAGGACAAGTGGGTTAACAGTGGTGCCAGTATAGGATCTGTCTTCCAGGAGTCCAAGTCCAACCAACTTGCTAAGATGGATGTCATTTTAGCTGCTGAGGATGAGTGTGTTGAAATCACAAAGATCGAAAATAGTGCTGCGACGTCCGCCAACTGTTGGAATTACTATGCTCTCCAGAAAGATCATCTGCATATTGGAGGCGGCTCATCTCTGGGTACAATCCCAGAAGGAAGGGTGCATGGAGGAAACTTGATGGCAATGTTTGTGGGCAGTTCTGGTATCAACTTCACTGGCCGTAGAGACATGGTCGGTCCATCCGAGCCAGCAAAAAATCTTTCAGGACACATCAGACCATGATTTAAGAAAGATTTGCTATCCTGTTTCTCTAACTTAGTTTAAAAGCAAATTTTCTATGCATGTACTTGTGTCTGTATTGCATTTCATGTCCGTTTAGTGATTTGAATATGAGAAACTCTTCTCTCCTATTTGTTTAATAAGTCAGTCTCCATAATGCCATTAAGTTTGTGTGGCAATAAGGAGAAATCAGCTAGGCTGCTTAGCTTTCTGAGGAAGGGTTATCCCTTCTTTTTCCTTTTTTCATGTAAAGAATTGCTTTTTATCCATTTATAGAGGCGAATGGATATTCTGTTATTAATGTATCTGGCTTGATGCATTCCCACCAGAATGAAGCTTATCTGTTTTCTATTTGCTTAATTTTTTTGCCGTCTTTCAATCATTGAAACTTATCAGGTATGTTACAGTACTTTTCGTTGTATTTAGAGATCATGATCAAAGAACCTAGCTTTGGGTAAATATTGTCCTATAAATCATGACGTAGTAATTGCTAGTGTAATATGTGCCCTGAGATCCTTTTTCCTGGCTTAGGATTTTGATGGGTATAGAGTTCATGACTCATTGTGCAGAAAATTCTGAAGAAATATTTCAGGCAATATAAATGGAACTCTAGCAGTAGTTGTATCTTCTTCTTGAAGTATTACTACTTCACATTAAGCCATAATGGAAATGTGTTGGGGTATATTCTTGCAGTGACAATCTTCGTGAAGCAAAGGATGTTTAGGTTCTGTGATCTGGTTTCATTTTATGACAAGTGAATGAGAAATGTTTTTGCGTAATTTGTGGATTTACCATATGCACTTCACAAGTGCCACTCAGAATATTTGAACCCACTCTTGGTTAACAGTGCGGTTTTCAGTCAACAGAGTTTGTGTTAGATGAATGGTTCCACTTTTCCAAGTTGAAACTGAGCAAAACTCAGCAAATCCCCTGCACCCTCGTAATTTTAGGGAAAATATTTTGTTTTTGAGGTGAAATGGCTGTTTTATTATGTACTGAAAATGGGGATTTCTTTTAGTTAGTTTGGTGAATTCCCCATTTTTATGTCAATTTTCAGATGTTATCTTCCAGGGCTGGGTACACATCTACCATAAATAAATTCATGAGATTTTTTTCTCTGATTCTCTGAACTTCAGAATGCATGACACATTGACACAGAATCAGAAGGTTGTTCGTTTGATCATGTATTGTCTTTTCATGTACACACTGTGCATTAGATTGGAACCAGTTTCCAAACACTTCTTTCTTGCGAAATAGAAGTGCACTGGGAGAAAATGTTGCCCGATATATGGGAGAGAGAATCTAATGGGGTTCAAAACTTGGGTATTGTTTTTCTTCTTGGTTTTGAATTGTATACTGCCCAGAAACTTTCTATTTAATTCTTGCTGGGAATACAAGGTCGTTGCACAACGGATTTATGAGTCCACAATTCATCAAGTTTTGTTTTGCATTTACTGGTAAAGTTTTTGAAATTGCCTTATATAGTCTATAACTATACAATGCTAGATAGATAACATTTGCTTCTCTCATAGAGCCTCCTGTTTGAATTTGGCCATCTTTGACAGGTTTTCCACTGCTTCAACTAAGTGATCGAGTCGAGCCACAAACTCTACAAGCAATGATGTAAACGTGGCAAGTGATAATGCAGCAGTGCTCAGCTCCTGCATCCTGGGAATGAAATCTGAGCTAGAACCTCCCTCGTTTTCGAAAGCATCAACTTCCCTCAATGGCCAAGAATAGAGCCTACTTCTCGATTGCCTCCTCATCATCTCGTGGTAAGATTCTCTCTGCAATTCTATTGTTGCATAGTTTGGTCGGGATGGTGGATTATAGTTTTGCTCAATACATTTGTTATCAGGCTTGACCATTTGGTTTGAGAGGTCGGAAAAGGTGGATGAGATGGCGTGGGAGAGCTTCGATGAATTATCGCATGGCTCATTGGCAGATGTAAGGAGGTACGACTGTATTGTTATTGCCCTTTGGAGTCTTTCTGTTGAGCTATGAACCATTTTCAGGAGGGAAGTTTTGAGGTTTCTCTTCATATTACATATATCTTTGCCCAGTTCTCTGATTAGCTCAGTAGCATCACTTGTGGCCTTTTGGATCTCTTTCCGAAACATGATTCTGAGATTATGTGGAGCCTAAAAGACAATGGACATTAGGTACATGTCAGTTCACTTAAAAAGTTTAATGAAATTCTATTTGTACATAAGAGGTTGACAACCTCTCACATTCGTGCGGGGTTCGCATATTTAAAAAA